TCTGGACTTTGCTTTCAGTTCTCACTCCTCAAATCACCAGGTATCAGCTCTGTCTCTCTCCCTCCACATCTAAAATCTGGTTTGAATTTTGAAGAAAACTTGCATTCTTTTTGAATTCTGGATCACTTTGCATTTTCAGGATTCCTTTTTTTTTTTCAAAAAAATAATATTGAATTATGAGTACCAGCTAATCGACTGGTTGTTGTCTTGTTTAATCAGATCTTGACGAAGAGAAGCTTTCAATCTGAAGCCATGGCCCTGGTGAGTTATATTTGGTTTCCTAGTAACCAAAATCTCTCGATATTGTACAAATTAAGCTCCTTTTTTGGAAGTTATATGCTTTTCATAACTTCTGTAACTTTCCGTAGCTTTTGTATATAAAAGTCTGGCTTTTATTGATCGAATTGGCTCTCGTCTAGTTCCATAATACTTTTTCGGTTCTTAATATAAGACTTATTTAGCTAATCTAATTAGATTAAGGAAGTTAGGTAAGTTAGTTAATTATAAGAAATATAACATGTTTTTCTTAAAACACCATAATCATCTTCCTTAATATCTTCCCTCCCCCTTCCACTTAATTATAGTTAAGAGAGTATCCATAAGGGTAATTTAGAAAAAACTGATAAATATGATAAATAGGTTTTATATTTAGGACTAAAATTATTAACTCACCAATTAAGCCATATATTAAGAATTAGAGGAGTATTTAGAAAAGTTTTAACTTATAGAATTGTATGAAGTTTATGAAATTTATTTTGTTTGGTTTAAAATATCTCATTAAAATATAATTTGCTTACTTGTTATTATTGTGTTTGTGCAGATCTTGCACGCACGCAGAACAAACAAAAATACATACAAGATATTCATAACAGCAGAGTATAGTGGTGTGGAAGTTAAATTGGCGCCAAATTTTGAGATGGGTGTTTCTAATAAAACTCCTCAATATCTCAAGATGAACCCTATTGGCAAGGTATGATTTTTTTAATTATTATTTTATATTTTGGTTGGCAAAAGGAATTTTTTTAAATTAACTGATTAAACTTTACTAAAAGGTACATTATTGTGCTTTCAGGTTCCTGTGTTGGAAACTGCAGATGGTCCAATCTTTGAGAGTAATGCTGTTGCTCGCTATGGTAACAAATAAGGCCATTCATTTATCACTGTTAAAATGTTTTTCTGTTGTTTATTAAAGGGAAGGAAGTATGTTTAGGTATTTTTCTTTTTATAATTATTTTCTTTTGAGTCGATGCAGTTGCTCGATTGAAACCTGACAATGCTTTGTACGGGTCTTCTCTCATTGTTCACGTAAGTTTTCTGCCAATTAAACAGTTTTAAATATAAAAGTTGAATAACTAATTTATCGAAATTAAGCAAATCAACCGACCTAATTATTTTAATCATCTACTTTGAAGTGAATTAAGATATGGGAGAATTAGAACAAAAGACCTATAGGAAAAAATATTTGGTGCAGAGGGTCATAAAAATTATAATTATTTTAAAGGACCATATATTAAGATATAATTTTAAAAAGACTAAATTGCCCATAACTAATCCTCTTATATTCTCTCACGTGATATCTCAATTATTTGACAGTTAGTGAGTTTTCTCCTTTTTCACTAACCCACATCTCATTCCACACAGATTATTTGATTAATTTATTATCAGTTTGTAAGTCTGCAACCATATTTTTACATCAGGTGCCCATTCCGACGTGCCCCAAAATAGGTGACCAAAAATTGATTCTTCTCAACCTGCAAAATCAAACATGATATAGTTCAATCCATTTGCCCACAAAAACTCCATAATTTGTTTGAGAAAAATGCTACTCGTTAGTGTTAAGTGCTTGACCCCTCCCAACAAAGCTCCTCAAATCACAGACAGTATCTCCTTCGACATAAGAGACAAAAAAGCAACCAACAAAATTAACCCCTTAGATCAAATGGAAGTTGTGTGGAAGTTAACATTTTATAAGAATTAAACTAACATTGCCTCAAATCTTTAAACTAACATTTTATAAATCTTGATCCATTTAGGATTTTCCCCCCCTTAAATGAAAACAAGAGCGGCGGCAGAGGGAACGAAGCGGGCGGGGTCAATTTAGTATTTTAAAATTTATATTTTAACATTTGGTCTTTTTAAATAATTCTAATTTCTATGGTTCTTTTTACTAAATAATTTTCTCTACATGTCCTCTCTTCTAATTTTCCTTTAAAATTTTGTATTTAAGATCAAAGCAAAGTCCCCAACTACTTGTTACATTTAAAATTGGACGGAGTATTTATTTTTCGTAGTTCCTCTCAGTCTAGATATTCCAGATGGAGGTGGCATTTCTTGCTAGTTTCTTTTGGTCTTAACATCGTCTGTTATTTTTTGTGTTTCAGGCTCAAATTGAACAGTGGATTGACTTCTCCACATTAGAGATTGATGGCAATATTAATGATTGGTATAGGCCAAGAATGGGACAAGCCCCTTATCATCCTCCGGTAACATGTTCTAACAACTTTTCCATTTACCTGTATGTGAATTTTGATTATTGTGTTGAGCAATTCTGATGTTGTCAATCCTAATCACCTAATATTTATTATTATTATTATTATTTGTTAAACTCATGAGTTGAATTCTTAAATAAACTAATTTTGACTTTTTACACTTAAAAAAAAAACAGAATCAAAGCGCATGCAAACTCGCCCATAATTTGAAACTTGGTCAAAGCTAATGGTAGCTGGCTTAAACTTGATAAGATTCATGTTTTAATTCGAGATGGACAAGTTTAATCTGGAATTTTTTTTTAAGGTAAGATAATGTTCATTGTTGAATCTACCGGCCCTTTATATGTGTGCCTAAATTCATAAGTTTGACAACTATATCATTAAAATATTTTATAAGCAATGATGCTCATTGGTACCATAAGATCTAAATAGTCTAAATTATTTCTTTTAAATAAACTAAATTCAAAGTTTTTAATATGTAGTTTTATAAACGATAAACTTACTCTTCTTTTTTAAGATTTCGTGTATATTAAAATAAAAAATTATTTAAAATTTTAAAATTAAATTAAATCTAAATTTTTACCAAAAAATCAAATCGTAATTATCTAAAATCAATTTGAACGATTTACATTAATAATCAGCATTCCATTAATATCATCATGACGTACATAATTTCATGAAGGACCCAAAAATTTTAGGATGCAAAGAAAACACACTCATGTATTGGTGTGTGTGTGTGTGTGTGTTGTGATTCCATTAATATCATCATGCCTTGAGATTTATTTAATTTGGTGTGAAATTGTGTGTGTTGATGAAGGTTGAGGAATTTAAAATTTCAGCATTGAAGAGAGCACTGGGGGCGTTGAACACTCACCTTGCTTCTAACAAGTATCTGGTTGGCCAATCTCTGACGTTAGCTGACATTATTATGACTTGCAATTTGTACAGAGGTTTCACTCGCCTCATGACCAAGAGCTTCACTTCAGAGTTTCCTCATGTTGAGAGATACTTTTGGGCCTTGGTCAATGAGCCCAATTTCCACAAGATCATTGGTGAGGTTAAGCAGACTGAGGCTACTATACCTATATTGCCTCAACAGAAGCCCAAAGAATCTGCCAAGCAGGCCCAACCAAAGTAGGTCCAATAAGGATTGAGAAGCCCAAAGAAGAGGCAAAAGAGGAGGAGCGATGCATAAGCCTCATGAAAAGTTAGTCTTAGTTGGAAGGGTGTTTAATTAACCGTGAGGTGTCTTTGTTGAGTAGAATTTAGTTTCTTGTTAACTTTATATTGAATTCTATGATGTGGTTTGGAATTAGTCAATTGCATCCTCTATGTGTGTGTTTTTATCTAATTATGATATGTGAATCTTCCATAAAATCATTTTTTCTCAAGTTATTTTTTCTCGAAATATACTCTTCATATTCATTTTGGTGGACTCATTAGCAATGCTTCTGCTTTGCTTTTGAGAAAAGCTTTTGCAGTGCTTCCTTAAACTTATTAGTGGTCCTTGCCATGTGCCCTAAATGAATATGTAAAATATGCATCAGTAAAATATATTTATGTAATAATGTTAATTGAAATTGAGAGACTGTAAATATGGATTATCTCAACTAATTAGTGTTATTAAGAAATTTATAACTCATGTCAAATTATTAAGGCTTAATAAAAAAAAAAAGGGCCTTACTTTGAAAATTATTTTTAAGAGGTTAATTCTACGGTTTGAACCCATGACCTTTTAGTCATACAAAAATAATTTAACCAATTACTCTAAGATTTCCCTTCGTTTTTCTATTTAATAAAATGATCAATTTTTTTTTGTATAATTAAATGCATTTACGTATAACGTGTAGGTTGTTGACAACTTATTATTGAAAATTAATGCAATTAATCCAATGAACTTTTTTTTTATATATAAATTTAATATACACATGCACACACGCAAACATACCAATTCTAAGTTTGGATTGTGAGACTTCATCCAAGTGTGACAAGTGGTATTAACATCAGTACAACTAGCTGTTGACATTTTGGCACGAATTTGTCATGAATTATAGTATTATACTATATAGAATGTAGTGACATAAAAATTAATTAATTAATTTCAACTAATTAGATTAATTTTGAAGGAAAAGGAAAAAATTGGGAAAAAGTCCATTATGTTAAGTAAAATATAAGAATTACAACAAAAAATAAATCTACAAAATGGAAGTTATGTGTATTAATTATAGAAAATTCATAAGAAACCATTTAGGCTATAGTGGATATTTTTTTGGGCTTAAAGGTTCTAGTGGATATTTAAGTATAGAATTCCACAAAACAATTGCTCGGAAGCTATAAACATTTGCTGTTAGCACTGTAATATTTATTGTGAAAGTCCACCGGTTGTACAAAATAATCTCCTTCGTTGTTCCATTCTTCAAGAGAAAAAACCCCGTCGATTCGCTGGTGCTTGAAGAGGAGCCAGATCTCGAAACTTCAGCCCGCATTTTGCTGGGGAAGAATAAAAATCTCTGAACTTTCGTTCCGTGCTTATCTTCATCGGCACTTCAATCTCCGCAGTAAAGGTCTGCTTCGCTGCTCGTTTTTATTCGGTGATTTCTCTCTGTGTTGACGTGATGAAGAAGTTGATTTTACTGGTAATTTCTATCTCCGACTGGTCGGTTCCAGTTAGGAAAGTAGAATGCTTTAAATTCTCATATCTAGAGGCCGAAAGTAAAATGTTACAATTTGTTTGGATGTTGTGAAATGAGCTTTGCTGTGATGTCCATCAGAAATTGATTGCTGATAAATCTGTGAAATGAATAAGTTTCATTTGAACACCATGTAACGTTTTACATCAACTGAGAGGGGATTTCTTCTGATGCAAAACACACATCCGCACGCAGGACTAAGTTATTTTACTTAGTTTGCTGAGTTGCAAGTCTTTAGCAGTCTGCATATGCTATTTCGTGAAGGTGTAAATGGGATACAGATAGCCCTCACCAAGATTGATACGTTGTCGGCACTCTCAGGGTTCTCTTTTATTTAGGTTGGGTTATTTACATTGCTTTGTACTAGGAATTTGTGGTTGCATTAACTTCGATCTTTTGTTTGTATTATTTATTACGGAAATTTATGGATGTTTTCAATTCTAAATTGTATATTTTAAACATAAAATTTTGTTCTTGATTTTGTATTTTAGCTTTATCACTTTGTTTTTTCTAATTGTACGAAAATTTAGTTAATCTATATAGTAATTATTACCTTGCATTTGAATTCCCTCATCATTGTGTGGAATGGGGACAAAGTGGCATGTCCTCCGTCGCAAGGAATGGGTAGACAAGGGGATATTTTGTAATATGATCCTTTCTACAATCTTATTTTGAGTTCAAAAGTGTTATTTTGATGTACAAAATTTTTTACCCCTTATTAAGTATGTTGATTTTCATTCTACTCCATGGCAGTGAGCTGGTGATTCATGGCTTTACCCTCCAAACTTCCATACCAGCTCAACCTCTTCCGAACTTTTTTGAATGCAAAAGTCAAATGGGTTCGAGACCCATATCTTGACTCTGTGGTGGAGAAAGAGAAGAATCTCAAACAGGCAATTTTCCTCATGAACCATATTATTTCATCTCCTTCTGAATCTCTTCCCGTCTCCACTGTTTCTCTGTTCAAATCTCCTCTCAACCTTCCCACCACGACAGCCAAATTCATTGATAAATATCATTCAATCTTCATGCAATTCCAACCCAGACCTGGACTACCTCCTCATGTCAAGCTTACTCCTCCAGCCTTGGCCCTCCACAAAGAAGAATTGGCCATTCATAGCTCTATAAACATCCGTCAAGATATTGTTAAGAGGCTTACAAGGTTTTTAATGCTTGCTGGCATTTCAAGATTGCCCATTTATATAATTGACAAGTTCAAGTGGGATCTAGGTCTTCCTCATGATTACATAACAGTGCTTTTGGCTGATTACCCTGATTACTTTGACATTTGTGGAGTGGAAGATCCATTGACAGGGAAAGAAGTGCTTGCCTTAGAGATTGTTTCGTGGAGAAAGGAGCTTGCTGTGTCTGAGTTGGAGAAAAGGTTAATGAACTCGTATTATGGTGGAGGAAAAAGAAGGCATGATATTGCATTCCCAATGTGTTTGCCAAAAGGTTTTGATTTGGAGAAGAGGGTTAAGACGTGGTTTGAGGAGTGGCAATCATTGCCTTACATTTCTCCATATGAAAATTCATTTCATCTTGAACCAAATAGTGACCAGGCTGAGAAGTGGGTAGTGGCGATTTTGCATGAATTACTTTGCCTTCTTGTGTCTAAGAAGACAGAGCGGAAAAATTTGCTGTCCTTAGGAGGGTGTTTGGGGTTGGAGACAAGGTTTAGGAAGGCTTTGGTTCATCACCCAGGAATATTTTATATTTCAAATAAGATTAGGACTCAGACTATCGTGCTTAGGGAGGCTTATAGAAAGGACTTTTTGGTTGAAAAGCATCCATTAATGAGCACGAGATATTGGTACATTCATCTCATGACAAAAGTTGAGAATTACTTGAAACCTGCTAAGATGAGGGATAGTCAAGAAGTTAAAGCCTAGGAATGGAACTGGACATGTTTTGAGCTCAACTAGTTAAACTGACAATTGGTTATGTTTTTCTAAATAAAGATATGGGCTTTGTAAGATATTACTGAGATGTTTATGGAAGTTAACAATGTTGTAATTTCCTACTGCTAGAACTGGAGGGTTACTCCCTTCAAGTTTCTTTGCAATTCCATATTCCCAAGTGGTTGACTTTGTTTTGGCATGTAATATATGGTGAAGTAGATCGTTATAGATTTGAACTCTAGCTTCGCCAATTTCTTGAGAGCAGGCCACAATGAGTTTCCTTGCAAATCCCTTTACTCTCGGTGTGGATGGCTTGCCTTTGTATGAGCCAAGGAGGTGGATTAATTGAAGTGGTTGTAAGCTGACTTAGATACCACTTCAATTCTGTGAAAGAAAACTTTTCAGCACTTCTGTCACTAATTTCTGTGGCATCTTTATAAACAGTGATTTCTTGATCCTTCAGAAAAGTGCATTTGATGAAGACCTGCACTTGATATTCTATGACAACTTGCTACGTGGTATGTTAGTAGTTTGCAATATGAGTGTCAGGAAATGGATGCCAGGGCTTCTCTTGTGGCATAGCAGGGACAAGGCCATCTTATAGGATGGTTTATTATTCTACTTTGGATGGTTCGTGACCTATTCCAAAAGCAATGTTTCCTCATTCTACTCTATAAAGAGCCATTTGGAATGTAATCATGATTGCTCTGGCTTCTGTTTGAGATATTGCCATTTGAAACGTAATTATGTAGTCATGTTAGGTGTACTATCATTTTCCTGTTTATTTCCATAATGCTTGTCTAACTTTTTAGAGTCATAAAAAACTAAATAATTGTTCCCCCCCTCATGTTAATCCACTATATATATGATAAAACAACAAATGAATGGAATTCCTTTTCAGAATGTTTAAGAAGATTAATGATCTCCATAGCACACATGATATAAAGGAAAATTCAGCAAGAGGAATTCTTCTGTAGGTTCTCCACATATCCCTTGGCCCTTTCAATTCACTGTCTGCCGCCCTTCCTGCCCAATCTGTCTTGATCTCCTCTCTTCTGTTTCATCTTCACTGTGATCATCTGAGTTCAGCATCACGCATTTTGCACCTTTGCCTTCTTTCTTGTCTTATAGGTGTTCTCCATGGTTGTGGTTTTGTCTCTGACTGTCATCTCTACTCTCACGTTTGTGGCTCCATAGATCTGCAGCTAGGGTCGACAGTCCTCTGTTGCCTGGATCTGCAGGTTCCTCCTCTTCTGTCCTCTCCTCCACTATTGTCATGTCCTCCTTCATTTGCTTTGAGCTTTGCCGTCATTATTCCTTCTTCCTCTCCTCTCTCCTATTGTCACCAGTCCCTCTTCATTTACATGCCTCAAGTTTGTGTATGTGTCATTCACCGATGAAAGATGATTTTTTCGGTAATGATATTTTTTTGGTGCAAATTTATTTGTCAGCGAGGTTTGAATTGTTAGATTTCTTCTTTCCCACACTAGAATTTGGGTTCTGGATTTTTTCTAATTTTTATTGTTTGAATGAATTTCAAGGAATAATAGTAAAAATAATTGTTGGTTTGGCTGAACAGTCTCCCAGCCTGGGAGACCGAGCTGGATCCAGTCCAACACCGAGTTTGTTCTGGGTTGGACCAAACCATGGTCTAACATGTCAAGGCCAAAGGGATTTCAAACCAAACCTTGGGTTAGATAGAAATCCGGTCTGGTATGTTTGTCATGCAGCCCTATCTATCTATACAGGCCTAACTTTCTGTGTTTGCACATATTTGGAGACAGTATGTTCAACTTAAATTTATGTTATTTACTTTCATATATTTATGAATGTTGTCCATCTATAATGCGCTAGTTTGAGGCTTGCCGGGGAAAAAAAAATTGTGATGTGTGTGGGATAAGCTATACCTGCAATTTACTTTTTCTTTGTCTTGGCATGGTTTCAAAGTTTCCGTTAATGAATTTTCCCTAGTTCATCTCTGTTATTCAATTGAGCAAGAGTGCAAGATCCAGTTATTTGTTATTTCTGCTTATTTGTATTGTCATTCAGCTGCAGATGAGAACATAGCAGGCATGAAAATGAAAATATGCAGTGGATGGCGTCGGTTTCTGTTTGGTCTTCCTCTTATTTTCTTTCTTCCCCATCTGTTATCTGGTGGGTTATTCCTTATTCACTTATATTTGTCAAAAATATCTTGTCGTTTGATGTATTGTGGTTGCCTTACTAACAAATTTCATTCCCATTGTATCAGTCATGGAGTTGCACCAAAACTCAAGCATGCAGGAACCCCAGAAGAAACTTCAAAAGAAATTTGATCATCTGGTTCTTGGTTCTGCTGCTGGTCAAGGCTTGGCTAATCGTTTGCAATGCCAAGGTTCTCCAATTCTCTTTATAAAATAGTATTTTTTTTTTTATTATATGGTGGATAAGAGGTTTTAACCTCTTTTCAGTTGTTAACTAGTCACAGAAAATATGGTAGTAATTTGAATTTAGGACCTTGTGCTTTAGTCCCTCCTAATCAAAGCCATATTACTATTGAGTTATCTGGGAACATTTTATCCAATTGAATGAGGCTTCTTTCCCTGACACTTCATAATGATTGTAACTTTGCTCTCTTATTGTTATTCACTGTAAATATGCTCACGACATTTTGAAATCATCACACTCAGTTCCGTTATACATGCTTCAACCTTAGTTTTGCAAATATTATTAACAGATACTGAAACTTATTGACTCCTTGTTTAAGTTGTTTTGTAGGTGAAAGCAGCATTATTTCTTGTGTTATTATTAATAAGTTGAATTTCATAGCATTATGTAAAATTGTTTTTGTTTATTGTTTCTAATACGCATCCTAATTTTCAAAATTTCTTTCTGATATCTGAAAATATATAGTAACTGAACTATATAAAACGAAAAATCTATCAAACTTTTAGGGATTAATTAATTATGCAATTCTTGGCGCAAGGGAGCTTGGAAGTTATGAAACAGCTATTGGATATGCTATTAGATAAAGGGAGCTTGCATAATTTCTTAGATGCTAAAATAGCTTGGTAATTAAAGCTCATGGTACGATAGGCTGAGAGACTAAACCTCATGGTTGCTAATCAGTAGAAGTGAATGATCTTGAAGAAGTTTGTGCATCTGGAATGATCAGTGCAGGGCTGTCATTCATGGTAAATGTTATTTTTATGTAGATGAATCTGTAGTTCCAAGTTAGAACTGGAAGATTACAGGTTTACATTATGAAAAATAAATGGAGAAAGAAGTGAAATAGGCGTCCTCTAGCTTCTGAGATGCACGAGACTGTGCTCAAAAATCGATTCTTCCTCAAACCCTCCCATGCTTCGAACTCCACAACTTATTCCCTCTCAACGGCTCCCAATCCCCCCCCCCCCCAAAAAAAAAAAAAAAAAAAACGACCCCCTAAAAAGAAAAGGAAAAAAAGCCCTTACCTCACAACCCATATGAGGTGGTTGGTGTTATTTCCTTTTTTGACCCTTCCAGATGCCTCAACTATTATAGCAGCCTTGAACCCCCAATTACACCTATTATTTCTTACCGTAGATTTTCAGCATTTCAGGTCCATCATTAGTACTATTTTTCTCAAGGGCTTTTACTTCGTCATTGATGTTAATTAGGCAATATTACAATTATATTTTCATGATGTTTTTCGTTTGACATTTGTATAGTCTCTTCATTATTTAAGTAAACTAGCATTGGCCTGTGCAATACGGCATGAGATGCTAAATTATTAAAAAAATTGCACATAATTCCATGCGATAACACAGCTAGTATTCTGGTTGTTCAATTTTATATATATAATGATGATGATTCTTATAATGTATTTCACCTTTTTTAACAGTCTCTTTGCATTTTCCCTTTTAATCCTTTTTGAAACAATGCACAGGAACTAAGTCTCTCAACAAGACTCACTCTTCTCATAATGTGTCACGTGCTGAGGACATTGCATTTGTCACTGTCTTTACCATTTACAATTCTTCTGCTAGCAACGTAGATGATAGATCATCAAACACAGTTATTGGGGATTCTTCATATAATAAGGTGCAGAGGTCAATGGCCGTGTTGAATGTCTTCATTAACTTCGTTCAGGTAGTTATTAAGTACAACTTGTGAAAGTTATTGCCATGTTACCATAGGCTTATTCCCCTACAATTGCATGTTAGTTCTGTAATGAGGTTTGTGGCAACTTTAATGCTTTCTGGACCAGTTAATGCCCAGGATTTCATACTTTGGTGTTTACTAACTGGAATTAGTAATATGTTATTGTCTAAAAAGGTAAGTCCTTCATGAACCTTGTTCTGCCATGAGCATCATATGTTCTGCTACCTAGTCATTTGTTAGCTACTAAAAATATGTGATTGATACTGGAGCCTGGCTTGGGAAATTAAAACTAAACTTACCTTTGGTAGCATACAAGCTGAATTTTATGACATTCAAAGTAAGTTAATTGCTTTCACCATTAGCAAAGAGAGGATAGGCCTCTGGGTTCGTTTTCTTCTCACTTTCACAGAGAAGTATTCAGTGCATTTGATGGGCCTTTACTGGAAATGGAATGTTTACTTGAGGAAAGGGAAAAAGATAAAGCCCTAAAAAGTGAGGCTGGGGGAGGTGTTGAAAAGGGAAGTACTAATAGGGAGAGGGATATTGCCTTTTTAACCACGCAGTTTGAGCCAAGATGGGTTATTGGCCTTTCACTAACTTGTGGAATTACAAGAGAAGTTGGGGAGACATCTTGTTAATGGACGATTAAGTTGGAGGAGACTGGATCCAGGATGGGTTAGATGGGATGTTGATGGCTCTATCAATCAAGTCAGTGAAGCAACTTGTGGACGACTAACACACGATGAAAATTGCAATTGGAGATGTGAATTCATGAAGAAATTAGGATTTTACGCAAATAGTATTGTTCAGACATAGGATCAAACCTTCTCAAAAAGGGTGTTTTTAAATTCTATGGAAGCTCTTAATAATATCTCAAAAGTTCATGGCATAAGTCACCCAGCTTTCAGCATAGTTGAAGATATAAGAAGACTTCTTATGTGCAATTGGGAAGTCACTAGTGATCATATATTTAGGGATGCCAACATTTGTTCTGACTAGTTTGTGTGTTATGCCCACACTATTGAAACAGACGATGCTCATGTCAGAGCTGCCAATTGAATGTGGAGATATTATGTTGCATGATTTAACTAATGGGCTTGTGCGCCCTCATGTTTTATCAGTTGGATCTTTCTCTATCTTTGTGCATATCCTTTGTAATAATAATAATAAAAAAAAAGGACAGAAAACTGACCTAATCACATGGTGCATGAGGTATATGAGTGGATGAGAGAGAATGTGGCTCTTCCTTCCTATATGGGATTTCGGCTAGACCAAAGGGAGTGGGGGAAGAAATCGACAAGGTTTTGGATAGTAGGAGAGCACATGACCTCTCAGAAGCTTGGAGTCTCAATTCATTTTCTTTTCTTTTGTTGGCTATTTTGCAGTTAGTCATTGTAGAGTTGTCCTTCACTTTTCCATCATTGTCACTAGAGAATATTAAGCAGCTTATACATGCTGAAACAAGAATTTCTAGCATGATCTTCTCATTGATTTGTTGTTCAACCTCTCCATCTTTTTGGGTTTCAAGAGCGTGTGAATAGCTCCAATGTTTTTAAGGTTCAGTCTTGTGCATGCGGCCTGCTGTGGGGATATTCTCTCATGATCTTGAATAAATGATGCACGCATGATCCTTCAATCGTGTCATTGTATCAATTATTCAATTAAATAACTTCATTTTGGGCATGATAGGCATGATAGCCATTTTTTTTTGGTGATATGGTCAAATGTTAAATTATCCAACTGAATTAAGTTTGTTGTCTATGCATTGTGTAGTAAGTCATTTTCATTTGATAACTTGGTTGAGTTTTTATTATCATTGTTGATGCGTAATACACTTCATTTAGTGTTTGATACATGTGAATTCGCAGGTGACAATGCCCCAGAGCAGCGTGATCATTCTTACTGACCCAGCATCTGACTTTTCATTGCACAAAAATAGGGTCTTTCTTTATCCTATTCAAGGTGAATATTCACGAGACAAGTTGATGCTTCAAAGGATCAGGTCTTACATTGTAAGATCATGTTGCATTCATGGTAGATTGAGCATTTATGGAGGTTTAAATTGTTGCTTTTCATATCATTCAATGTATTTCCTTCATTTGTCCACCAGTTTATGTCTTCATGATAATTTTAATGGCACAATTAATAGTTTGTGGTTATACTTTTAATGGCTCAGCTGGTTGAAGTCTTCCCTTGTTTATGATAGCTTTCCACTTTTTCACTTTGATATTGATGGGAACAATAAATTTAGTGAGGTCGATCCTCTGGGAGAAACAGAATTAACGAGTAGCAATGTAGCATGACTAACTGTAGTTGGGACCAGGGAGTTCAGGAGAGAGAATGTGAGAGAAGCACTGGGAAATATAAGGTTGGTTGAGTGAGTTTGAGTTTGGGAATGTTTTGAAGCTGGGGAGAAATTGGACTCTTAAAAACAAGGGAGCAGTCCCTTTCTTATTTCTGTGGCTTTTCTGCTTCTTTTCTGGACATACTACTGCTGACAGGAGAATTCTGCTTTTTTGTCATTAAATGATAAAAGCAGAGTCAGTTTCACCATATATTTGATCTCCTTATTTGTCTTGTATCATACTTTTATGTCATTATTAGAAGAATGCTAATATTTATCTTTTTAAAATGAATATCATTTGTTTGGCAGTTTTTTTTAGGAACCAAGCTTCAGGAGCTTTCTCAGAGGCCAGCAAGTACCACACACTATATTTTCACTGATTCTGATATAGCAGTGGTTGATGATCTGGGACATGTTTTCCATGACCACCAAAATTTTCATCTCGCGTTGACCTTCAGGAACAATAAGGCTCAACCTTTGAATTCAGGATTCATTGCAGTGAGGGGTACTGCTGATGCAATTTTGAGGTGCATAAATTGATCTGCCCGGATTTTTATCTGAAGCGAATGTATTTCATATTGGCCTGAAATGTCACCATTTTGCTATTGTTGCTAAACGAAAATGATATGATTACAAACTCTGGGAAATAGTGATGAGTCATGATATCATGTATAAATACTGCCAATTGATGTTCTATATTGGTATGTTTTGTTTTGCACTTGGTTATTACCTTCAGCGATATGATTCTATTTCTTAATGAAGCATTTCTCTGTAATCATTAGATATTTAGATATCATTTTCTTTTCCTCTCTTTTGCCTTATTTTTATATATTCCCTTGACTTAAACAATTTGGGGAAAACGCAGGGCAAAGCTTTTCCTACAAGAGGTTTTGAAAATTTACAGCTCAAAATACATGAATGCTTCTCGGATGCTTGGTGATCAATTAGCTCTTGCTTGGGTCGTGAAGTCCCATCCTTCTTTTGATGCCAGCAGGTTTTCAAAGCCCCTGTCTTTCACTGAAGACATTGGTGGTACTTCGGTACTGTTCTTACCTTGTGCCATATACAACTGGACACCACCTGAGGGTGCTGGTCAATTTCATGGCATGCCCTTGGATGTTAAGGTATAATATTAATTGCAGCCTGCAGTAGATATTTACCTGGATGCCTGATCTTCTTTCTTTTTTTTTTTTTGGGGGGGGGGGGGGGGAATTGTACTAATTGTCTTTGTGTTTATACTAAACGTGCCGTTTTGTTCAAATTGAAAATAAAAGTTGCCATTACTCTGTGCCAGTTTGGATCAGCTTAAAAAGGCATTTTTGCGCTTTATGAGATAAATATGTGAGAGGAGTTTAGTCTCGTAAAGCTTAAAAGTGCTTTTTTTAAGTGAAGGCAAATGGGCACTCTTTTTTTTATTTTTTTTATGGAAGATGTAAAGTTTTCCAAAAGTTATCAATAGTATTTTTCGCATCAGCAGACTCTCCTTAGTTCCAGATTGTTTACGTTTTGAACAATTTTGCATCTCTTATCAAACTTTTGTGTAAATGCGCTGCTTAAAACCACAAGGACTGAATCGGAGCCCTTTTAGTGAAACCAAAGGGACTGAAGTAAAAGTAAGCAATATTTAACTAAAGTTCTTGTATGGGATTTATTTTTTTAATGCAGGTTGTACATTTTAAAGGATCAAGAAAACGCCTAATGCTCGAGTCTTGGAACTTCTATAAATCCTCTCCCATCATTGAAGACATGTTATGCCTCATTCTGGCAAGTGGACGAACCAAGTATGATTTTTGAAGTTCACTGGAGAATTACTTGATATTTTGTGCAGACATGCCTCACAACTTAGGAGAATGGTATAGCAGGAAATTTTTTCACCCAGATATATCCACCCCAGCTTCAGGTGTGGTAGATTTGTTATTTTCACGAGAGTTCTTGGCATATTTGTAAGACAAATATTTCACTCAGACTCTGAAGATAATATAGAATGTAATGGTACTCTCATTTATGACTTCCCTTTTGCGTCCTTTTGCCGAGGAGATTGTAGATGGCATAGTACTTGTGGGGTTTTTTCAAAGATAGCTAGTGTGGGTCCGAAGTCTTAAAAAATAGCTTTATTACTCATTTATGAATAATATAGTTTATTAGAGTTTTTATATTGCCTGTTTGGGAGCCTGATGATGGTTTTCACATGTACTGCGAGTGTTTGGCAGCTTAAAGATAACTATGTTGAGTTTACAATTGATTTTGATAAATATATAAAAGGTGTTTGGATTTTTTTTTAAAAAAGTATGGTTTTAAACTTTTACAAATCAATTTTATAAATATGTTACAACTAAATATATTCTCAAAATCATAACAATAAATCAATTTTATTCCCAGTCTATTCTTAATTTAAACACGCATTGTTAATGATTTGGGGCCTGCCAAACAAGCACTAGATCCACCAAGTTGTTAATGTTATTGTTGTATTGTTAATAATCAGACCCTTAAATATCCATTGCTCATCGTGATCACTGCTCAGGTGTAATGATTATATTTAGGAAAATATTCAAGATTTAAAATTCCAATGAAAAAAATAAGTACTATATTCTGGGCCAAGAGAAAAATTCGGGGACTCAGAAAGCGAAAATGTAAGCATTATATGTTGACATATTTATAATTGATTTTCTTGTCTTTTCAAACCGAATAACCAATCGTCCTTATTTCAATTATTTTCATGCAAGAAGTAAATTGTTTGAAAAAATTGGATTGGGAATGGCAGAAGGTAAACTAGTTTGTGAATTTAAATCTAGGGAGAATTTCATTAAACCCCTACTGTAGAGAATTAGTGTCCAGCAACACTTACAAGATTCTACAATTTCACTACACCCCCAAAACTAAAATAAAATTAAAATTTTAGGGTGAAAAGATAATAATACCCTTACTTTTTTTTTTTTTTTAAAAAAAGAATAATTGTGGCCGGAACTCTGGTGACCAGCCAGTTGGAGCTTTGATCTTTGGCACTAGCCAACTGAGCACTGGTGGCTGCTAGTCAGGGCTTCGGTCACCAAAGGATTTTTCACAAAGAAGGTGATTTCAACCCATGACCTCCTAGTACACAAAAAAAATTATGACCACCAAATCAATCAATTCACTTACTCATATAATGCAAAAAAAAAAAAAAAGTAATAAAACAAATGCAATTGTCCAAGTGTAAATGAACATATAAATTCAGCTATTTGCAACACAAATTTAATGATTTACAATACAAATTCGGTGATTTACAAGAAACATAAAGGAATTCACAACCTCAAATACAAGTATTTATGTGTAAAAAAAAAAGTAAAATTTGATTATTTATAACAAAAATTCAGTGATTTATAACTCTAATTCAGTTATTTACAAGAAACATAAAATAACTCATAACTCTAAATGCAAGTGCTTAGATGTGAATGATTAAATAAAATTTGGCAATTTATAACAAAAATTCGATGATTTACAACTCAAATTTGACAATTCACGACCTCAAATACAACTATACAAGTGTTTTTGTATAAATGAACAAGTGAAATTCGACAATTTACTACAAAAATTCGTCGATTGACAACTCAAATTCAGTGATTTACAAGAAATATAAAATAATTTATAACTCCAAATATAAGTGTTTAGATATGAATGATCAAGTAAAATTTCACGATTTACAACAAAAAATTTGTGATTTACAACCTAAATTTGACGATGTACAAGAAACATGCAGAAATTCATAGTCCCAAATGTAAATGTTTATCTTTTTTGTAAATCACTGAATTTGTGTTGTAAATTACTAAATTTATGTTGAAATTACCGAATTTCACTTGTTCATTTACATTTGAATACTTGTTTATTTATATTTGAACACTTGCATTTGTTTTATTACATATATATATTTTTTTGTACCATATAATCAATTGTATTAATTGGCTTAGTGGTTATAAATTTTTTTTATCAAGAGGTTATGGGTTCAAATTCTCCCGACCACCTTCTTTGTGAAAAATATTCTACTGACTAGAGCTTCAATAACCGACCATCAGAGCTCAGCTAAAGGTTAGAGCTCCAACCGACCAGTCAACAAAGCTTAGGCGACAATTAATCTTTTTTTTTTAAAAAATAAGGGAGTTATTGTCTGTTCATCCTAAAATTTTAATTTCATCTTGTTCCTAAGGGGTTCAGTGAAATTTGGAATCTTATGAGGATTGTTGGACATAAATTCTCTACAATAGGGGTTTAATGAAATTCTCCATTATTTTTTGACTTTTAATATTTTGAATGGCAAAAGTTATTAAAATCTAGAATTTGATTTTTTTGGGGGGGGGGGGGTCATTGGAAGAGGAGGGGGTAATCAGAGGATGAGCCGGACATAATTTAATGGTGATGGCCATTGTTGCTAATGGTGATTGTTATCGTACAATAATTTTTTTTATGGAAGTTATCGTACAATAATTAATTAAAATTATGTTTTTGGGAAAAAAAATTGAATTGGTTAAACAAGTAAATAGAAATATAACCAAAATATTATCGTTACACATGACATTCCAAAAACAGCTACTTTGATACTATATAAGAAGTGTTATTTCGGGGTTTGAAATATTTTATCTTCGTATATTCTTGTTTTATGTAAGTGTTATTATCTAAATATTATTCATGCATAAACAATAACAACAAGCTACTTAAAAACTGTGAATTAAATTAAACAAAACTTAGCGGAAATATTTGGACTAAATTATATAGATGGAAAAATTAGAGTGAATTATATAAAATTTTGAGAGAATTACAATGAGATATTAAAGAAAAAAAATAATTACAAAACAAATTTTAGAAGTCGTCATTTTCTATTCTAAAACTTGTCAGGCTACTTAGTTGTTGTTAAGATTTTTTAGTAATTATTTTTTTTTTTTGAGATCGCATTGTAATTCCCTCTAAAACTTTCTTAAACTTTAAATTGTATGTCAATTACCTCTTTAACCTCTATAATTTAATAATAAAATTCCCTAATTTTTTTTCCCAATAACCTCCCTAACTTTTAAATTATGCATATGGTTTTAAT